GTTCTACGGCAGACCAAAGATACACAAACCAAACATCCCACTACGTCCAATTGTAGCACTACCAGGAACACCAACGTACAATTTATCAAGAGAAATCTCAAGAATATTGAAACATTTAGTAGATTCGTCGAACCACTCCATCAAATCAGCCACACAATTCCTTGATCAGATTAGGAACATTCAAATCAACGACGACGAACTAATGATATCCTTCGATGTGACAGCACTATTCACTTCAATTGAACCAAACCTAGCAAAAGAAACTCTGTCCTTGCTCCTAACCAACGGCGAAAACCTCGCGAAATACACGAAACTTCAAAGTCAAAGCCTACTTGAACTCATAGATCTATGTCTAACAACATATTTCCAATTCAATAACAAAATCTACAAACAAACAAAAGGGACACCAATGGGATCACCAATATCAGGACTCATCGCGGAAGCAGTAATGCAACGACTAGAAACCACAATTCTACCAGTGATCAAACCAAAAATTTGGATTCGTTATGTAGACGACACATTCGTCATCGTCAAAAAGGAGGAACTAGAAAACACCTACGAGCAGATCAACAACGTCTTCAACGACATCAAGTTCACAATGGAACAAGAGTCGGACAACAAGTTGCCCTTCTTAGATGTATTAATCACCAGAACGGACACAGGAAAACTAGAGACTCAAGTGTACAGGAAGCCGACCCACACCGATCAAATTCTCAACTACAATAGCAACAACCCAAGAACTCACAAAATCAACTGTGTACAAACTTTGTTCAAGAGGGCGAGAACACACTGTAATACAATCACAGCACGAAAAAATGAAGAAAAACACCTGAAAACCATTCTTCAAAAGAACGGCTATCCAATCAATTTCATCAAAAAATACCAGTCACACACACCATCAGAAATGAAGTCAAGTATAAAAATCAACAAAAGGATCACCCTACCATACATAAAGGGCATATCGGAAACGACAACAAGGCTGCTGAAAACCTTCGGAATAGGTGTAGCCCACAAACCAACAAAGTCCCTCCACTCAATCTTATGCAAACCAAAAGATGAAATAGCAAAAGAAGACAAAACAAACATCATCTACAAGATAAATTGTACCAACTGCAACAAACACTATATTGGACAAAGCGGACGCCCCCTGCATCTTCGCCTACATGAACACCAATTAGCAGTCAAACGCCACGACATTTCTTCACTCATATCAATACACGTGGACAACTACGGACATACATTCGACTGGGAAAATGTGCAGATTTTGGACAGAGGCAATTCCAAAAATACCAGAGAATTTTTAGAAGCTTGGCACTCAGGTCAATCTGCAATAAACAAACATATTGAAATCAATCCAATCTATCAACCAATCAAGAAAATTATGCAGGAACATAGGAACAAAAATCAAAACAATAGGAGAGACAATCAAAACAAAGAAATAAACAATGACAGATTTAAGGTCAATAAGAACCAATCAACATCGAGGTGTAGAGGACAAGCTGTGAATCACATGTGGAGAAATTCAAACACTTCACTTCTACCCGAAGTTTGTGCTGATGATGTCGTTCAGAAGGACGATGAAAGCTCCACGACCAAACCATCCAGCTCAGAGAACAAACCAACATAAAAAAGTATAAGCATTAATGTGAAAGATTAGGGTTAGAAGATGTTATTGAAGGAGTATAATACAATGAAATAAATTTGGAAAGATAAAAAAGGACACAGACATGAAGAATTCAGATTAGAATTTGGTAGAACACAAAGAGTGGATGCACCTTCGCCATTGCAAACGATTTTGAGCCATGTCATTCAAGGTCTCTAACCATCGGTTGTCATCATCTCGCGAATCCCAACCAGGTAGTCTACACCTACCAACATGGTCCAGTCCACTTGTCAGTGACTTCATGGATTTATGCTATGTTTTTGTCTGGCCGCCCCTAGCTTTCTTCCAACCTACACCATGAAACATTGCATGTCGGGGCAGTCGGTGGTTGACCATACGTAACACATGTCCCAGCCATCTCAACTGGTGAAGTTTCACTACTTCATCAATCGATTTGCCATCCTTACCTAGTACTCGTTTCCTAACAATTGCATTACTTACCCGGTGGTCCCAGGATATACGAGCAATGCGTCGAAGACACCTATGATAGAACACTAGTAGCCTACGAATATCCTCTACTCTTATCGGCCATGTTTCACTTCCATAAAGTAGGACGGAACGTAGTGCTACACAGTAAACCCGTCCTTTGGTTGCTAGACGGATATCTCGCCTACGCCATAAATGACGCAAGTTGGCGAAAGCTAGACGTGCCTTCTGTATCCGTGCTGAAATTTCGTCACAGAAAAGACCACAAGGGCTGATGGGACTCCCAAGATAAGTGAAGTGGTCTACATTTTCAGCTACTTTACTCCCTATCATTAGTTCAGGTGTCGATGCAACCCAATCCTGAAGTAACATTTTGCTCTTCGAGGGAGAGAATCGCATCCCGAACATGCTTGCATAGTTGCTTATGGTGGGCAGAAGACTCTGCATTTTGTCAGAGTCTTCACCAAATAAAACTATGTCGTCGGCGTATTCTAAGTCAACAAGTGAGCCTCCCGGTAAAAATTCAACTCCTTGAGATTTAGATGATGAAAGTGATACCTCTAAAAGCATGTCAATGACAAAGTTAAACAAGAATGGGGAGAGTGGACAGCCCTGACGAACACCACTAGAGGTAACCAATTCTGATGACAGTTCGCCATAGGCTCTAACTCGACCAGTAGTGTTCGAGTAGAGAGCTTTTATGAGGTTAATGTACTTCTTTGGTACTCCATTCAGTGACAAACACTGCCATAGAACCTCACGATCAACGGAGTCAAATGCCGCCTTAAGGTCAAGAAATACTACTATTGTGGGACGTCTGAATGTATGTCTATGTTCTAGGACCTGACGTAGAGTGAATATCTGGTCTATGCAACCACGTCCAGGTAGGAAACCAGCCTGGTTTTCTCTAGTCTGTACTTCACGAGCTTTGGTTAGGCGTCCAAGTATTATTGAAGCTAATATTTTAGACACTATATTAGTCAAACTGATTCCTCTGTGATCATCACAGGAGGACTTTTGTCCTTTCTTATAGACTGGCACAATCAGTGATTGGGACCAGTCAGATAGAATTACGTCCAGTTCCCAGATTCTACCTAAGACCTCAGTCAATCTCGTTGCTAGTACTGGACCACCATCCTTAAAAAATCTCAGGGGTAAACTTGTCAGGGCCTGCGGCTCTCCCTCGCTTTAGATTTCCTATAGCTTTTTCAACCTCGTAGAGAGTTGGAGGACTTACCTCAATTTGCCATTCAGGACGACTGGGGATCGTGGGTAACTGAAGTGTGGCTGAAGGCCAGTTGAACTGATCCCTAAAGTGTTCTGCCCAATCCAATCTCCTGGATTGAGAATGAATAATATGCCCGTCTTTGTCTGAGATAGCTTCGCTAATAGGTGGGTTCCTAATGCCGGTTTCTTTAATAAGTCTGGACAGCTGTCTGCTGTTACCTATTGCCGCTGCCTTTTCCATCTCTCTTGCTTCCGCTACCCACCACTGTTCACGATCATTGGGTAGGCTTCTTATTAGCCTTCGCTCTTCGTTATGTTCAGAGCCAGGTGGGATGAGTTTTCGAGCATCTATCAGTGCGGTAGATGCTGCCGAGATCCATTGTTTCTCCCTAACCTTATGGTTTACCTTACTAGCGGACATTACAGCTGTTTCCACAGCTTTTCGGATGTCATACCACGCTGCTTCGGGGTGGACACAGCTTACATGTCTGTCTAACTGTTTTTCCAGTTGTTCCTGAAATATATTCTTAGCTTGCTTATCATTAAGTAGAACCCTTAGAGGCTTCCCTGCAGTGTCTTCCCTACGTCCAGTAAGTTGCAGGCAGATATGTGCTCGCACTAGAGCGTGATCTGAATCTAAGCATGTGCCCCAGAATGAGCGACAGCCTTCTATCGAGCCCCTCCATCGGTGGCTGATAGCGATGTGATCTAATTGGGTCCAACGTTGGGACGAATTCGGGGGTCGCCATGTCAAAAGATGTTTTTCCTTATGCTTAAAGTTAGTATTTGCAAGAAATAGGCGGTTATCTGAGCACAGCTGCAACAGACGGTCGCCATTATCTGTTCTTTTAGCCACGACACCATAAGATCCTCCCAGGTGTCTTTCCCTTTCACTCAGTTTACTTACTTGAGCATTAAAGTCGCCAGCCACTATTACTACATCAGAACGCCTAGCTTTTCGTAGAAGGTCAGAAAGTTTCCTGTAAAACTCATCTTTTATATCGTCTGAGCTACAGTCAGTGGGAGAGTAGGCAGAGATGACGAAGAGACAACGACGAGTTTCCCTATCTTTCCGGGTCCTTACTGATCCGTTTAGTCGGACAGCGCATAGACGACTGTCTACTGGGATCCAGTCTAAAAGAGCTAGTTCTGCCCTACGACTTAATGCTATACCTACTCCAGCGAAGCCACGGGAAGCAGCATCAGGGCTTCCAGATACACGAAGCGTGTATCGAGATGGTTCTTTATTTTGATTAGGTGAGGTCAAATGAATGACGCTACTCGGATCTTGTATGCGCGTTTCGGAGACGCAGCATACATCGATGGTGTAAGATTCTAGAGTCCTAGCTAAGGAAGCCTGTTGTCCTATTTGGCACAATATTCGGACATTAAAAGTTCCTACATGTAGTTTAGAGCGAGGTTTCAGGAGACCAGGAATAACGTTCCGTGTACTCGAATCGTTTGCCCTAGCGGTGCGAGGTGATAAAAGGACGTGGGAAGGGTTAGTCGTGGAGTTAAGAGTTGTTAGGAGGTCTAGGAAGGATTTGAAAGTGACCAACTTGGTCTCGTGTGCTGTTACGGGTATGAGGGCATTTATTACTTCCCGGCTGCCCACACCGTGGAAGTATATTCATAAATTTATTTTCCAAGTACTTACATCAAATATTGAAACAAGAATTTGTTTAAATAACATTTTATTGAATATTCTGATTTAAATATTCTTGGTTCACATTATTAAAAAGAATTCGACATTTACGTGCAACTAGAACGGAATCTGACTCTTATTAGACAATACATTCAGCATTAATGATATACTATTCAATCTACCAACACATATTTACATTTTTAAAAAAAAAACTATTCTTTACTCAATATAATTAAGAAGAGCAAGCGAAAATTCTATTCCATGCTTCGACCAATAATGATTCTCTAAGGAAAAATGTGTAGGTCTAAATATTACTACGTATTCAGTGTCAAGAATAGAAAAACAAACACTGGATTAATTGATCGAAAATACATTTATTATTATTGTTTTTATTTTAACTAAACTTATGAATCCGTTCAATGTAAGTTGAAGGAATAAACAAGATATTGTTTCAAAGTAAGAAACCAACTAGAATTAATAATAAACGGTTAGAGGAAATGAAGTAATGATAAAAAAACACATACATATAAAACAAAACAGATTAATTATGATATATATGTGAAATTTTTTCATCCTAGTAACGTTTTTCCTCTGACGTTTTCTTCATATTACATTTTATAAAGCAGATTTACTGAAGCTGACACGAATATGCATATTCTCTTCTATAGGATAATCATGCATTGCCTAGAATAAAGTGAGGATAATAAAATGAAAACATTTCCTTTCTCATACAAACAAATAAAATAGATTCAAGAAAAAGGAAGCAAATTATCAGTAGGTTTAGTTCTGTTTTATACCGTAAAAATAAATGGAATTGTGTCTTGGGGCAAGGTCAACCTACTAAACTAAATAGACTAGTAATTTCGATATTGTACAGTACTACACAAATATATATATGATTACATGATTACTGTGAATTACTCTCAATATAGTTACGTCAAAATAAGAATTTAAAACAAAATCATACTATTGTTTTGGCTGTTATTATTTATTTATAAGGTGCGTTTGCATGGCGATTGCCAAAATGACTAAGGTACCCCACTATATACTACTATTACGTTACAGAAAGTTGGATTTCTCTTTAATTAATTCAATTTGAGTAGTTGAGTAAGTAAAATCAATAGCCCTCCTACAATCCAAACTGTTGCTCAAAGCCAAGTGCATAAAAAAATCTACCAACATGAAAGAAGTTCCACATGACTTTTTACATATCAACTAAAATATTATTTACCATTTTATCCTGCAGTAGTTTGGGAACGTGAACATTCATCGTGAATAGTTTTTTACTTTAACAAGGAAGAATATTTTACTTAGTGTACGTAAAAAAGGGATATCTAACCACATATTTTTAACAAAATGAAATAGACTACTGACAAACTTTCTAGATAGATGTAATTTGCTGAGAATGAACAACAACGAATTTTACTGAGTTAAAATTACTTACAATTAACGCTGAAACAGCTTCTTCTAAATTTGCAAATTCTATTAAAGCCATTTTCTTATCAGCTCTGGAAAAAATAATGATAAAGAATTCAAAAATTGTATTTAGAGACTATAGTATTTGGATTACATTTACCCAATATAATATGAACAGCAAATTGATTATGTTCTTAATTGCATTAAATAAACTATTGAAATGTAAATGTAATACAGTTTAACGAATGGTTTATGAAAGTATGTAAGTATGATTTGGATGTATTCTTACAACAGCCAACAGACAAATAGTGAGATTCCTCAAATAGCTTTCATGCCATGACATCATCGAAGTAGACGATTTGTAGTAGCACCAGCTATATAAATACACAAAGACTTTATGGGTAAGAAATTCTAGAGATTACATGACTTTTGAAATGTTATCAAACATTCATTTAGGATCGAAGTTAATGATGATTTTGTTGATTTGTTTGGACAAAGCTTTAAAGAAATGAACAGAAGATACGAATGATTTTCAGATGTATTCTATGTAAACATTCTGTCGATTTCTTTTTTTTTTTTGATCATCGTGAAAAAAGTTGCAACCATCACTCCATATTCATAGAAGTCGTAATCATTATAAATATTATGAAAACATATCCGATTAATAAATATATAATCTAGTTGCGAAGGGGTTTAGGGGGATTGGTTTGATTTGTAGACTGAGTGCTATCTTGTACCGAGACAAACCAACTGTCCGATGTATTTTAATTCCCAATGGTACTTTAACTGAGATCAATCTGTGATAAATAGCGACCTACAAAAAATTATGCTTTATTCCGGGGTTTTAATTGCAAGCTGCTAATCAACCATGAGAAAACGGTTGACAACGTGGATAGGAGAACCTTATGAAACCTTCTTAGACATGATGGTGTACCTGAGAAAACGGCCAACAACATCCGGGATTCACACGACGGACTACACTGCAAAGTTGTGCATGGAGGACAGCTGACAAACGCATTCCAAGTGAAGGCCGTAGTCAGAAAAGGCTGCTTACTCTCTTTTTTCTGGGATTTGAGAAGCTGTAGTAGATATTTGTTTCTTTTTCGCTTTGCAAAGTTCTGGGTCAATCAATGAGCCATAAGTTATGTAGAATCCAGTTTATATTTGCATCAGATCAAGTTGCCATATAAATTTAGCACAGCGATATAAAATTATTTTCTTATATATAAGACAATTTTCGATAAAACACATCGATCTACTCAGGTTGTTTTTTGTTTACTTCATAATGTCGCTACTAGACAGCATACTGTAATCATTTGTAGTGCATTACTTTTTTTTTAAAAATGAACAGAAATTTCATTAGATCTTACTTGAAAGATTTAATTCGTGTGACATGACAATCGGTACCATTTTCAAATACACTTTTTAAACTGTCGTCATCGATTGAGTCCGGTAGATTGGTAACATGTAGCACTTTGGATGGAGCGCATATATTGAAATGATTACGAGAATTGACACGTTTAAATCTATGCAATTTATGCCCAGTATAATCACATGTAGTTTTTATATCATTTTCACCGTCAGATGTAGGATTTTGTAGATTAGTGTGTGGCATATTAACAGTTGGATTTTTTGAAAGAACACAATGTATTATTTTACCATACAATGGGATACCGTTTAAGAAATTCACAGCTGAAAAAAAATCATGTAGGTGAGATAATTTAGCAGTGGTCGATAACCGTCATTACGAAAACAGGAACACAGGAATTAAATCCGTCGATAGAAGCAGGACAACAATTTGGTACAAAACGAATACATTATTGTATTTCAAATGTATGCAAACACTTGGTAGTTTTTATTCAATACTATTATTTTGCTTTATATATCATTGTGAAGAAAAGTGGGAGTCATTGGAAAGTAGGAGACCAAGTTATAGAAGATGGGAAATTTCTTAAATATCTCCCCAGAATATATGGATAGTAAAATATGGATATAACCCAGGTTCATATCTTGGCAGCGACACCAAATCCCAAATGCCCTAGTAAGGTCGAGAGTGGGGAGAGTCAGCTCTTCCTCTAGAAATACTCTCACATGGCCACGCGTATGCAGCCACTGTCAGGGAAGTCCTACTCACTGCCTTCTTGTGGCGGTGTAGTTTACGAAGTTGAGAGGACGAGAAGCGAATGTCCGGTGCCTAGAGGATCTACCTGAGGAAGTTGGGAAACCCTGATTCCAAACTAATGGTGTACATGGGCTCCAGGATCCTAAGGAAACAAATGGCATATAAACCTATTGTTGGCCACCGGTTACCATAGGACTGCATCTTTTAATGTTGTTCTATTGTCTTATGGATTGGACCTTCAGGTCAAAGGCTCGTGTTGTGGCCCCCTAAGAAAACCATTGGGCGCCCGTGTAGTATTTCAGCCCTCACACAAATCGAATTATTTATTTGGCGCATATATGTTTGGTGCCTCCTTGTACCAATGTTTATGTGTTAAATGAATAAATTTGACTATTTCGTGTAAAAATCCGCTCAACTGGATGGGCAGTTGAAATGTAAGGCACTCATTGTGATATTACGGAAGGTCCTGTGGGAGCCTAACTGAAGTCATAGATTGAAATAAAACGGCTATTTAGTGATATTTGGGGTTCAACGGTTCACCAGATGCTGAAGCAGTTCTGTGATGAAGATCATTTCCTAGGTCAACCATAAACCGCATAGAACCGGACAGCACATACATGGATTGGTCCAAGTTACCGCATCATCGTATTAAAATATATGATCTAGCTGACTAACCACTTGACTAAATATCCATGTGAGTAAAAACCTTGTGGATTTATGTTACTTAAGAACTTGGGTCTAGCAAATTCAGAAGAAAACAAATTTTTTTCTTCAGTTGTTGAAACGACACATACTTTATCTAAAATTCAAATTATTCTTTAGAAAGGAATAACTGATCACTTATTCGATGAAAATCTAAATAGTGAGTACTTTAAAAAACAGCATTTAATGTTTTAGGGAAAACATGCATTAGATTTGAAAAATTTCAAGATTTCCCTTAACGTGAAGAAATACATAATACTGACGAAAAACCAACAATATTTATATGCTGATACAGTTATTTTTTACATAGTGATTTTTGCATTTGCCAACATAGTAAGAACAAGTGCAAGTTTACGCATAGCCGGAGCTTTGAATTTCATTTATATGGTATTTGAGAGCTAGTGATTCGAGTGCACGGGGGACTTGAACCTGTATGCTGCGAGTTGGAAATCGAATGTTTTAATCACTGACTTACAGCTCTTAATTTTTAAGTGGTTAATTAACGTCAGAATTCGAAATTATAAAAAAAAACTAAAGAACTTTCTGGATATGCATAGAATACCATGTAAAATATATTATCCTTAAACACTGATTAGAACTACATTCTCTTAGGGTACTCATTTGCCAAGTTATTCATTAACCTTTACGGAATATCATTAGAAAAATCATGCATACCAGTATTCGTTCTGTTACATCTAGTAAGAGTTTCTTTCTGTGATTAAAATTAATATAAAATCTGACAACTTCAATAGTCAGCAGTCAGAGAGTATAACCTTCTTTACGGTCAATCGAAAAAAATAAAATAAATAACAGAATAATTAAACAGTAATATGTTAAATAATTAACCTCGAAGTGCTTGATTAGCATCTGTGAATTGAACTAGAGCGGTGCTTCTTTTGTTGTGCAGGATTTTTACACGTTGCACATCCCCGTAAACACCTTAACAAAATTCAAAGTGATACATACAAAAAATTAAACATTTATAGGGCATAAAATGTTAATTTTTTGATAAGTGTGGAAAAGAAAACATAAAATGCCCAGTAAACAAAATTTGACAATCTGTATAATTATACTAGACAAATTGCGAAATTCTTTTTGTCAAACAAACGTATATCTTAATAGTGTGGCAAATGAAAAAGCAACACACATCCTAATTATATCTCTTTATAGCAATTTAACCCAATACCATACTCATATAGAAACAATTTTATCAGTATTGCTACTCCAAACACAAAATATAATGAAGTTTCCATACAAACAATTCTTTTAGCTAGTTTAAGGAGATTTTTTCCTTTTACAAATAATAAGCTATGAATTGTAGCCAAATTTTCACTTCACTTATCAATTAAAATTAAAACAATACCTAAGTCGCAATCGTGAGTCAATTGAAGCTAGACCACCATAGAAAACCTGGAAGCACTGGATGGCCGTTTCGTCCTATTATGGGACTCCTCAGCAGTGCGCATCCACGACCTCGCCTCGTGAGATTCGAACCCAGGACCTACCAGTCTCGCGCCAGAGCACTTAATCGATAGACCACTGAGCTGGCATCCGATGGTGTTCATGTCTAATTCCAACCAATCCACGAAGTTGAGCGACCGTTCACCAATTGTCTTCAGTGAGTTCCTATCTCACAACAGACGTGGTTTGAACTCCACTGGTCACTGCTTCTCAATAGAACTCCATGATTTACCTCTCGAAGTCAGTCGCTAGTAAGCATATGATTATTATTATCAGAAGGGGTTTTTGTGGAGATTTAGTATTTTCATAGTTCGAATCTCGCGAGGCGAGGTAGTGGATGCACACTGCTGAGGAGTCCCATAACAGGACGAAGCGGCCGTCCAGTGCTTCCAGGTTTTCCTTGGTGGTCTAGTTTCAATTGACTCACGCTTGCAACTATGAAAATATTAAATCTCCACATAAACCCCTTCTGATAATAATACCTAAGTCATTTAAAAAAGTGACCCTAATTAAGGTCCACATAAGCATACATATATATGGAGGCAGGATAATCTTACCAAAAAGTATGAACAATGTATCCGGATTGACTTTCTTTTGCAGGATGATGATGATAATAATGATAGATGGATATAGAGATGGACCATGCACAGATGGAGAGAAATGTTTTGTGGGATAGCCATAGAAGATCATATATATAAAGTGAGATATATACATATACATACATAAAGATATGGAGGGAGAGAAAGAGAGACAAAGACAGATAGCAGTTGTTATATATGTACATTTTTATACAGAGAGTAAGTTAGTGAAAGCAAAGGAAAGTTATATGATGTAGGGAACAATGCATTTATCGCAACTTTGATTAATTAGTGCTTACATTTGAGCTAATTTGAAAATAGAGAGCTGTATTTAAACTTGGGTAATATAACAAGTCAGAGTATTACTATCTTGCTTAAAAGGAAAACAATACAAGTACTTCAGATTAATAAGATGGGGATCTCTGTGGTAAAATAAATCAAGCATATGGATGTCGTTGAGAAGCTGCCAAACAAACAAAGTACCGATCACATATCGAACAAATTATTCAGTCAACAGCAACGATAACAACACTGCATTTTTCCATAGGATGTAAATATATAGGGAAACAATACTCTTCAACAAATGAGAAAGAGTAACAATACATTGCTAATGAAGTAGGTTGTTAAACTTGGCAAATTTACATTTAGAAGAGATGTCATAAGTTAAAATAGGTAGAAAAGTATCAAATATGTGGGTATATAGAATTAAGGAAGCATTTACAGTGTAGTATTATTCATTTTATTGATTATACAAACTAAATTATCTTTGTATTATGGTTTTACGGTATAACGAAAGTATGTATACCCTTAAAAGGAAAATCCAAACTTATTTAGCCTTTAATCGAGTGTTACATAGTTCATGGAATATTAAAGCTTATCAAATGTTCTACACGGTATGTTTTCAACAATAAGAGAAATAAATACTCAATAATAGGAACATTAACTCACCTCAGTATTTAAATTCGATACAAAGGCAACTGGTGAGAAGGGAACTGAATGTCCTGTAAGATGAGAAGTTTCTTTAGCCGGTAGATTAGGAATCAAAGGCCAAGGTAATGAATCATGATTTCTATTTTCGGATATTAAAGAGGTAAGACTAGATAGTGTTGTTGCTTGTGCTCTCAATAAATTAGCTTGTGGACCAGATATACTTGCGGCTACTTTCACTATAAAAAGTGAATAAAAAGTTAAGAAAATCTACAGTTAGTTGTAAGTCAGAGAAAATATGAAATGACTTACATATACAGCCCATTTGATTCCAACACAATTTAATCTTAAAGATGAGTAATTTTTATTGTAAACATTCTTAGCATACAGATAACAGTAAATAGTAGGATAAATTAAAGTGTAAGATAAACATGTGGAAACAAAAGATGAATATGGATATGTTTAGACAACAATGAAACATTCTAATTATTACTAAGGTGAGACTTTCATCATCTCAGTAAGAGTCAGTCAGCTACAACGTAGGATCAGGCACATATATGCATCGGTCCAAGTTGCCATACCTCATTAACACAACAAGATGAACACCGAATACATAGAAGTAGTTAATTTAATGGTGGTAATGTGTAAAAGAAAGATTGTATATAAGGAAGAAAAATATGAAGCAATTTTAATCTCACGGTTTAAGAGAAGACAAAGATGGTATACACCTACGCCATTGTGATCGACTCTCAGCCATGTCACACAGAGTCTCCAACCCATGGTTTCGATGGTCACGCGGACCCGAACCAAGTAGTCTGCATATACCAACATGCCTCAGACTAGAGGTTAGTGACTTCAAGCACTGATGCCACGTTTTGGTTTGGTCGCCCCTTACTCTCTTCCAACCATCCCTAATACTAGCCAGCATTGAGCGTCGTGGTAATCGGTGTTCAGGCATACGTAACACGTGGCCCAACCATTTCAGTCGATGAAGATTCATCACCTCATCAAATGATTTACCATCATCCCCTAATACCCTGTGTCTAACCTCACTATTACTTACCCGGTTATCCCAGCAGATGCGAGCAATATTTCTAAGGCATCTGTGGTCAAATACTAGTAACTTACGAGTACCCGCTACCTTTAATGATCACGTTTCATAGCCGTAAAGTACAACAGAACGAACTAATGCGCAATATACTTGTCTCTTAATTGATAGACGGATATCTCGTCTTCGCCATGGGTGATGTAAGTTGGTAAAAGCCAAACGAGCTTTTTGAATCCGTGTTGAGATTTCGTCAGACACCAACCCATTAGGGCTGATCAGACTTCCAAGATAAGTGAAGTTGTCGACGCGTTCGACTACTTCATTCCCTATCCTTAGTTCAGGTGTTGACGCAGGCCAGTCTTGGAGCAATAATTTACGTTTAGAGGGGTAGAAGCGCATTCCAAACATCCTTGAATGGTTACTCAGTGCTATCGAAAGACTCTGCAGTTTGTCAGCGTCCTCACCAAAGAGGACTATGTCATCTGCGTATTCTAAGTCAATAAGCGGACTTCCTAGTAGGAGATCAACACCTGAAAGTTCAATCGACGAGGGCGTTATTTCAACCAGGAGGTTTATAATGAAGTTAAACAAAAATGGGGATAGTGGACAGCCTTGTCGGACACCACTTGAGGTTGTAAAATCATATGACAGTTCGCCATAAGCTCTCACTCGACTGGTAGTGTTCGAGTAAAGAGCCTTCACAAGGTTTATGTACTTCTCAGGTACACCTTTCAATGACAGACGCTGCCACAGAACCTCTCGGTCTACAGAGTCAAATGCTGCTTTTAAGTTAAGAACAGCTATCATTATCTGACGCCGATAAGCATACCTGTGTTCTAAAACCTGACGAATAGTGAATATGTGGTCGATACAGCCACGACCACGTCTGAAGCCAGCCTGATTTTCTCGAGTTAGCAGTTCATGAGTCTTAGTTAGGCGCGCGATAATTATTGAGGCTAGTATTTTAGATGCTGTATTAGTCAAACTAAACCCTCTAAGGTTATTACAGGATGATTTTGACCCCTTCCTATATATTGGGACAGTAAGTGATTGTGACCAGTCAGATGGGATTACGTCTAACTCCCAGATTTTAGCTAACATACTAGTCAACCTAATCGCTAAAATCGAATCACCATCCTTAAAGATCTCTGGAGCCAATCCATCTGGACCAGCTGCGTTTCAGTAAGATGTTAGATACCAATATTCTAAATATAAATTCGTAACAAATGAGCACTGGAATCATTAGAATTAAACCGTATGGCATATCGTAATTTAGGTAAATCGAGTATTATTCACCGGGCGAAAACGCTCAATTTGACGAGCATCAGATAAATTAGAATGAAAATACTATAAGCTAGTAACGAAAGCATTCCTTATCACGGTTAATCTACCACTCTCAGAACCTTAGCTATGAACACGTCTAAAACCGTCATTCATTCAAATGAATCACTATTTCAGGTTGTTAATTGTTAACATACGTAATTGAAAGGATTCTCCCGAAGTCGCATAATTTATTTAATTAAAGTACGTAGGTACCATAATTGATACATATGAAACAATCTCATCTCAATAAAGTTGAAAAACACAGCTCAAAATATCGTGATATTTTGTTACATTTCAAACAAAATATAGAATGTTTAGTAATTGGTTTGGTGAATCACTATTATGCTTTCTGTCAGAATAATCGATTCCAAATGATTCTAACGAGTCAGCCAGTTTTTTAAACCAGTCTGAGTTTGCGACTAGTTCCAGATGATGTTAGGAATCTCCCAGATATCCTCTATATAAACACTTGCATTTTTGACCTTCGAACGCTGGTCCAATATCCGACTTTTAAAAATATTTCACGATAAACGGTAGTACATTTTAAACTCTATAACAATAAAACAAAACGACAGTGTTGTTAAACAATAGGAAACATACATAACGGTTTGATGAGTCGATTAGCCAAGACACTTAAAAATACTGGATCCATAGTTGATAATTTTTCTTCACTGAAGGCATCCAATTCACCTTTGACGGAAGGAAGAAAAGCGTGGAAATTTTTGGTCCCATTTACTACACTTGGTAGTATGTGATTGTGATTTGACTCATCTGATTCGTTCCATGGATTTTGAATAAAATCTCTACAACTATTATCTTCTCGATGAATTTCTAAAGTTTGTTGCCTTGAAAATTCAGTACGAAGAATGTTAAAATTACTCTCCATAGGAAATAATGGTACACCATTCATTTGCTATTATTGTTATGACAAGATAAGAATGTATCGAACATTAGGATGTGTAACCAACCAAAAATGTAATTTGATAGACAGAATGTTAGTTAACAGTAAAAAAATAATTACTATAAATAGTAAAACATATCTATTAAACATGTAGTGCGCTGGGAAGGTCAAGAATTATCTAGCTGTCTTATTTTGTAATAATAAAGGTATTTTCTTTTGAGATTTATTCGACTGAATCTACTGTAAATTCTAGTCATGAACGATCAAGATTTTCCTAATATAAGAGACAACTAATGTGAACTCGACAATACGGCAGCTGATAAATTACAACCCTTCAACAGTAATCCTCAAGCGACAAAATCCAAGAAGACAGGAATGTAGAAAGGTCTTGATATTCGACGAGGACAAAATTGAAGTAGAACAACTCTAAATATATGGCATCAAAGCATGACCTTAGGGTAAAGGAAAATTAGTAAACTAAAGGTGGTATCAAACATTCAGAAAAAAGTGAGGGTCGAATGGAAATATAGATTAACAAAAAAGTACTCTAAGAAAGAACGAATATTTATTAAGAAAAATTAGATGGTCTGTGATCTCCCTAAAGAAGTGATAGATCTGACGTGCACATCCTGGGGAGCCTTTTTTAATTTATATTATTCCACTGACCCTCACTATTATTTGATTGCTTGCTACTGAATTTAATTTGCTAATTCTGTAATCAAAAGGTCATAGTTGTTGTTACATAAACAGAATTGCTCTAATACAGTTTTAAATTCTGTTGGGAAATAAAAAAGCTTTTTGAGGGACTCGTCTTCCTCTCTCTTTCTTTCTCTAGCTCTCCCTCTATTCACGTGTGGATTACTAGATTTTGAATGGTAAGGTATATTAGCGATTTACCCTATCTGGTTAGCACATCTAATGTTGCACTAAAAAAAGTTCGTAATTACTATAAACTATTGAAAATCATTACGGAATCACAAAAAAATCAGTCTTTTGGTGAGGGACTGGACAACCTTTTCGTCCCAGTTTGGGACACCTCAGTGGTGTACATTTAAGACTTAAATCCTGAACATAGAAATTTTATAGATTTTAACCACGATACCAGTGAGTTGGTATTTAATTGTTCAGTTTTGATTTAAGTTGATCCGTGATATTGCACAATAATCATCCTTTGATCCAAACAATGACACCTTTGTCACCCAATCAGCCAAGGCTTCTCATTAGAACTCTTGGGATTTCTTTTTGAAGTTGGTCACTAGTGAACATAAAATTATTATTAGTAAAAGAGGTTTGTTGGGATTCTTTTTGACTTGTAGTTTACATCACGGACGGACTAGAACTAGGCAGTTTTTGATTGTTACTTCTTATAGTATGTAAAAATATACAGGGGGTTTCCACAACTCTTTAAAAATTAGATTGAAGAAACTTGTAAAAAAAAGGATTCTCATCTATTGAATGTTTACTGAAATTCTTGAAATAAAGCTGAGTATGATATAACAGGAAGAAGTAGATTCCGTTAAAATTCCATGTACGATATAACAAGGAAAACTTATTGTCAAAGACTCTACATACGGTAAAATTGATGGGTGTAAATAAATAGGTATGGACATTTCTTTATACAAAAAAATACTCATCATGCCATAAGTATGCATCAATAGTAAATATGATATGCATAGATTATAAGATATTTCTTGGAAAACAACCCACTCACTAATTTAGCAACATGAGCTGAAATAGCATTGCTGTATTCTAAAAATGCATGACGTGAGTCGTTTTTCTTGAATGATATCACACGTAGAATTTGTCCGAATGGTTTAAAAGCCTAAAAATATCAGAAATAACAACATAGTGCATTTGTTGATAAAATCAATTGAAATAATTCAACTAGTGGTAACAGAATAATACGGTAAAAGAATGTGAAACGAAAAAACCTCGAAAGTAACTAAAAAATGAAATAAATAGTCGTTTATTTGCGACTTTAAAGGTTTGTATGAGTAAACTACATGAATAATTGATCAGCATTGAAGCATATTGATATGGAAACGACTATAAATAGTGAGTTCGAAATTCAATATACAAGCTACCTAAAATGAAAGTTGATTTAATGAGTGTTTGTTTTTAAATATGTTTACAGAAGTCGATAAATAATGTCAAAAGTTATTAGTTAACTGCTGGTTTAAAAAAATTCCTAGATCAATTTTTATTCGTTTTCCTATCTGGGTGGACCTACGCATAGGATATCGATTTTGCTATCCTCCGTGAATGTCCTGCAGAATACAGAGGTCATTTATTGTAGTAAAAATACACCCTGAGTAACATAAGCCAAATGTGAAATACCTGAAAGAGTAGTATTGCATCTTCTTATCAATTCAAAGTCTTGACCTTAAGGAAACTGATCGTATAAAATAAATCTGGGTCTTTACTTGTAATATTTGAGTAAATTTCTAAATTTTTCTTTGTGTACTTCACAGTTAAATAAACTGTCAAAATGAAATTCACAATTTATAGAGTAAAACAAATTACCGACTCAGTAAATCATAAATAAGTAGGACCTAGGCATATAGATGAATTCGGCTCGTTTTGTCATACATTATATGAACATGGTGAGATGAAATTAATATGATGAACTGCAACGTAGGCGAAATAATTGTAGGATTAACGTACTGAGTAGTTAAACATAAAAGATATAGCCCGAAGGAATGAGATAGATCGGTTAAGAGCACATAACAAGGCTAAGCCTCATTGCTTAGAAGGCAAATAACGAATATATTTTGGTTACTGTTGATGATTTTGAATCACGTCATTGACAAGTTGACAACTTTATATTGCTCTTGTAATGAATGGGTAAAAAGCTCAAGAAACGTGTGTATTGGCTTGCTGAAGAACTTTTCCAATCAGTAGAAGTGTGTAGAGAAAAATTTCATTGACAAGCCAATAAACATATTTCCTGAAATTTGATGTTAGTCGGTTAGTCATAACCAATGTACAGCTTAGTTTAAGTATCTGCCAGCCCGAGTCATAGTACCGAATCGACACAGTGAGGTGAATTGGAAAGTAGTCATAATAATAATGGTATTAGTGATAGTGAAATATTGGAAATGTACCGAAAAGTAGGTGTGTACAAAGGAACACTGAGATCGGAGATCTAAAGAGGAAGCGAAAAGCGAATTCATCTGTGTGGTGGATGAACATAAGTAACATTTCTTCCAGCAACTACAACCTTATCAAGCTGACTTGCAATATTTACTTAGCATAGTACCGCTAAGCTATGGACTGCTCACACTTTTTGTTTCATGATACGTGATCAGTGCTTCAGAGACACCTATGATTAAGAATTACACTAACTCACTAACTTCCTCAGAATAATGCAGAGCGCGGACTACAGCGCGATATACTTACTACTTCGTTGGCAATTCCAAGTAACAACTTTGACACAATAAGGTATGATATGCGAGAGCTTCAAGTACTAGTTTAGATTTTTAGTGATTTTGTCAAGAAAGTAAATGATCGTCATCAGTTTGAGTAAACACAGACAAATTTCAAGTTTAGCTAAAAAGTTCTATTGACCTTTTAGGGACAGTATGAAGCTTACATAGTAAAAAAATTGTTAGTCGCATTTAGAGGATAACAAAGAAAAACTGATATAGAGAGCAACGACTTAAACGATTGGAGTGTGAATGAGGTATGGAATTTATCTTTCTCAATCATCGGTAAAATATAAGTACATTTTGAGAAAGAGTAATTATATGACTTAGTCAACTAGTTAGATATGTTGGTTATGAATGTTTGACTGCATGATACTGTAAATTATTGACTAACTGATGTTAAATACTACCCAGTTTAAATTACATAAATCTGACTGTTACTCTAAATGTAAATAAATCGTACAAAAAGTGAGATATTTATAAATCATTTTGATTTCTTTCTGGCATCACATAAATCCATATCGGCGTTCTGTGTTTTCACTATGCGCCATCAGATTCAGGGGTTTCAGTACCAGGCACAAGTGATAGGTAAAACAAAAACGTTTTAAGAAACAAAGTAAAATATACCATAAAAAATGGAAGATAACCGATTTCCATGGAACCGTGTAACTTTTCGACGTGAATATGCAAAACAGTTTTAGGAGAGTCTTCATTTTCGCATCGAAATGCTACAAATTGTTTATTAGCTTCTTCGACAGCAGATGTAGCAGCATTATTAGTCATTGAGTTAGTGAGAGAAGAATATTTGCTAAATTGAACTTCTAGGGGATATTTTCCACGTAGAATCGGAGAACATATTACTGTATAGTAGCCAAACATAGATTCTGCCGACTCCAAAGTATCCATTTCAATTAATGCCTGTAATAATAAGGTTAGAGGTTAAGAAAATTAGACTGTAGTAGAGGTATTTGTATAATAGAGGGAACAATATTGTAGTTTTACTGAACATCTTTACTGCTGGAATAAAACAATTTTCTCTCATTAGCAGGTCATTGAAAATATGTTAGGTAAGAGAAATACTTGTTTGATAAATTCAACTCATTATTCAGCGGTCATAACATCAATATAACCTTTTGGTGAAACTTTTCTGAAGTACATTGTAAAGTTATGTTGTGTGAAGGTGGCATGACAGTCGTTATGATAAAACTTGGCTGTGGAATAATGAATTTGTGTAATATGCCTTATTCATATTGATTATTTTAAGACTTTACAATTGTAAATCCAATCAAATTGTCAAATATAACTGTCATCACTTGAAGGCAGAATTTTCTAAGATATCACCTTCAAGTTTTAACACTTCGTTTTATGTGAACAGTGTGAAAAATTGAAATGTGAGTAATTTCAAGAAGTCCCTCAAAAGGATGACATTTCAACCAACACATCTTTATAGGGATCAATAATCAGTTAAGTATCTATTATATATGCTTCTTATCACAGGTTAATTTATACCATTCATTCATTTTCATATCGTGTTTCAAAGTGAGACTGGGTTTACTTAAATAACATGTACTTCCTATTATTAAAAAAACCAAGGTGTAATGAACAATAATCTGCAAAGAATAGCCATTATAACTTTTGAGAAAGTAATCCTTAACTATTGATAACAGTGTGTATGGAATTTCATGAAGTAAAAAGATGAATATTTCATGTTAATTCGATTAGGAACCATTAGAAAAAAAAGCAATTCCGATTAACCCTCCAGACTGGCTGTTATTCATTCATGTTCTTTCCCAAAGATAAGACAATATGTAATGAAGAGTAACGTACAACGTGTATACATCTAACCGTCAATGGCCGAGAAATTGCCTTTTGACTCATTTTTCCCAGAAACACTACATTCTGATCGTTGGAACTTCCTGTGAATACGCTTTTGATAAATTTCGCGCAGTCCATTCTTATTTTATAAATAAAATTGATAAAAGTAATGCTTTGATATTCATAAGAATAAAATGAACAGTACATTTCAACATTTTTTGGAAAAATAAAGACGAATGTACAAGTGTTATGATTGACTATTATTAAATGACAATATGTTTGAAAGGAAATGATAGTTAATGAAAAGCATTAAATACAATAATACATACTTGACAATTTTTTCTTGTTAGTATCATATTGGCGATTGAGCCAAATGGTATAGCTAACGTTGAAACTTCGAGCTCATTCACATCGGATGGTAAGCCACGGATGTGGAGAACACGGGATTCCGGCAAAGAATTCGATGATGTACTATCTAACCTTGCCTGTGATATAATAAATAATAATATCGAGAATAAAAGATTATCAACACAGTTGAATTTGTACTGTTTGAAGGATGATACTCTAATTTTGTATTTGAAATTTCCCGGAGACAAATGAAAGAATACAAGTATAGTAATATTTATCAATGTTTTTACTTGATGGACAAGTGAAGATCGTCCTAACTGTATTACCGGATAAAGGCTGGTGTATTTTCTAAACTGTCGCTGACATTTCATTTTATTTCAAGCAAACAATGAAGTGACGTGATCTCGTTAATTTGATAGAACTAGCACAAACGAAATATAATTTTCAAGTGTTATTTAAATATACAGAATATTATCATGACAGTAAAAAAAGGGATGCATTAGTATATTGAGAGCAAGACCTTACAATTATTTATTGGGAAATCAAGGAAACAGGTGGCATTCCCGATTATATTGACTTAACATATGCACCCTGGATCAATGAACTACAACTATAACATAAAATGCTCTCTAGATATTAAACTTGACTTACTAAAACTGGAATAACTAACCTTTTTTGATTCAAAACGACTGGAGTCAACTACGGTTGGGACTTCAGTAAGAACTCTCTGAAACCGAAATGAAAAATCATCAACTTTTACGAATTCAACAGTAATTATTTATAATTTTAAGGAATTTTGATCTAGCCTTAATCCTACGTATATTGATCACGATTAAATTAGACTGGCATGTAAGACTGAATAATTTGTGAGTGTACTATTGAAATGTAGACTAGTGATTTAAAGGTTAAGACGTTCGACTTTTAAGTGATGTTTTAGCCTCGAACCCCACTCCACCTATCCAAGTTTGAGCCAACGATTTGTATCACTAGACCTCATAATTAATGTATGGCTTACGTAGACCATGACCTGATACAAAAGCCATCCCCTGAAGGTATTCGCCCAAGCTTTTAAAGTTTGTCCATATTGCGAAGTCGGAGGACTACCTGATTCTGCTTTTTTTGAAAATGAGAAAGATTTACGAAGTAAGGTAGATTCATACAGTGGTGTCTTTATTCAAACCACTGCATTTAGATGCCACGGAAAACTATACAAAAGCACAAAAGTAACAATAAGACACCGATAATTCATATATATCTCAGATAACTCATATATAATAATAATACCTAGGTTACCTTTTCATTTGGTAGTGTGCTTAATGAAAGTAAACTTAAATGATAACTAAATGGGACTAACGAAGTGCACACAAACTGATCTTTGCAAAGCATTTCATTTTCATCCGAACTTCGAATATGGTTATCTGGCAAATCCGTACGATAAACTACATTGATGATGGACTGGAATGGAAGAGCTGAATTTAAATCCGCGTTTGAATGCCAAGTTTGAAGGGACGAAACGTTCATAAGAAAATAAACTTAACTGAATAAACAGTAGTAGCCAAACAATCTTAAGACAAGGGATTTGCTTACATTTGATTGGTCGATGAGATTAGAGCTGTCAGGTAAACTGTTTGCGAGATGACCAATCAGTATTGTGTAACATGAGATGAAGTTACGCAATTCTCCTATCAAAACTACTCTACGCGATTTCTAGAAAAATTTAAAAGCCAAATTACGAAATGAAAAATATTTTTCAGATGCTACCAGTTATGTAGCCTATTTGCGATATATGGATATGGAGGATTCAACCAGGAGAGTTGGAAAACCCTAGTTACAAACTAATGGTGCATATAGGCTCCAGGATCCTAAGGGAACAAACGGCGTATGAACCTATTGCTTGTCATTGGCTACCATGGGGCAGCATCTCCTAACGTTGTTCTACTATGTTGTGCATTAGACCTCTAGGTTAAAGGCTCGGCCTGTGGTTCCCAAGAAAATCATCTGCCTCGGTTTGGGCGCCAGGGCAGTATCCCAGCCCTCACACAAATCAAACGACGAAGTGTGGTGTATATACACTTGGTACCTTCTTCTACCAATGCTTGTTTAGATGACAAAATAACGAAAATAAATATACGATAGTTCAATTTAAGAAACATAAAATCAACTATATTATATATCATCTGAGGATTTAAAGAATGTTAATTTTTGAGGTTCCTTTTTAAAATGTTCGACGACAGAAAATCAAAATTCAATCTTCCATACGTGGGACGAAATACACAACTAAACTGCCAGTTCAGTCAAACCAATATGTATAAGATCTATTTAAACCAAAAAGACAAAAAGTTAGCCCTTTGGCGACAACACATATTTATAGCGACAGACGAAGGACTAAACAGTGGACGTTTCTCTTGGAATAAGTGATGTTTTAAAATCTCTGATGTAAAAATACAGAAGTTTTCTAACACTAAACATAGCAAGATCTAGGATGAACCACGTAGTATAGAACATACGGATACCAAAATAGCGACTTGGTAGATTATGCTTTCGACGTTCTACTAGGGCGAAAACATAGAGCTGAGGAAATCAGGCAGATTTTCATACTTTAGTCATCATATCGTGCTAGATTAAACAGATGCAGGCTACAGAGAATGTAGTAGGGGATTTAAGTGATTGATGAAACGATTCCGACTCGCAAAATGGATAAAACGGACGTTGATTGATAAACAATATGCAGTGATGCGATATGTTGAGAAGTGGTTACTTACGAGGACGACTCAACTATTCAAGCCTTCCAATTATCTGGAGTCGAGTACAAGACAACTAACCAAAAGGGTAGGTCTTTTGTGACAGAGTGGTTGTACACAAATTATGGACATAGAAAATAGCATGGTGAAATCCTTTAGGTGACTGGAGGACATTAATATGTAGGTTACTCTTCAACCAGCTAAGACCTGACTACCAAGCCCGACTCTTGGCATCATTTCGAAAATACTCTAACTTACTATACATTAAACCAACTTAACGACGTGGGCACTAAACTGCAGACAGTCCTGATATGTGATGTGTTTAGCAATAATTTACAACAAACTCATTTTGCAAACGACTGAAGCTTAACTAGAGAAACCGCAATGGGAGTGGAATGGCGTAGGCCAAGTTGAATTAATCTTTGTCATTCAGACACTTTTACTACCGAGTGAATAACTAGTACATCAGACCTAACCATTTGTGACCAACCTATATACCTTCTGTCAAACATCAGACCTGAGCAGACAGTAGGAGGTAAACTGGGCTGAAATGAACGCGAGGTTCTCTAAATAAGTAATTGAAGCTAATAAGTTTTTGAAGAGGAACTTAACGAATATGTCCCAGGAACATGACGGTTTAGTATTTTAGAGTTAGTGAACCTAATCTCCCTATTTTGGGGAAAAGTTTGTCCGTTTTTAAGACATTTTGGGGAAGCCGCAATAGAAAATTTTGATGAAACGGCACAGAACCCCCAAAATTTACCCAGGTTTGTAGAAATTCCCCAGACTTCGGGGAAAACTCCAAAACCTTCCTGTAATTGGGAGATTAAGAACATTCGCTGTTTCCGCCCCGTCAATTTTGAAACATGTTAATACAAATAGCCCTGGAAATATATCTTCCGCCGTGCCTTAAAAAGACGATCATGTTAGAGTAAATTATTCTCAGCAACTTCAACTGAGAACAAACCTGCTTCATTGTATCATGTCGCTTCATCGTCGTTATTAGCGCCAAATTTTTAGGTGTAAATGGCCAGGACTAGAAGACTCAAGGCCTTTTAATATCCAATTTAGCACAACATCGAAAAGACTAAAGCAGGAATAAAAAGCACTTTTTCACGTACTTGTCCCATTTTAAGGACAAAAGGTCTATAAATATCGGTTTCAGTTTCAGTTTGGAAAGGACAGGAGGCTTGATGGTCTGTGTTAGTCCTGGCAATGATGGTCTCTCAGGTGATCCAACTTTCTTTTGAAGGAGTCAACGGATGGAGCCTCAACCACGTGCTGAGGTAATGAATTCCACTCGTTGATTATTCGATGGGAGAGTCGGTAGTCAGCTGACAAGTAATTCATTCGGGGCTTGTGAACTTTTTTGGAGTGTCCTCGTAGATTTTCTGTTTTGGAAGACAAGAAAAATGAGGGCATATCAAGTGCAAATTTGTCATTAAGCAATTTGAAAACTGTAATCGAGTCGCATCTGATTCTTCTATATGACAGCGGGAATAGGTTTAGCTTGGTCAGTCTAGTACCATACGGGAGCTTCGCTATTCCGGGAATCAGCCTAGTTGCTGTTCTCTGAACCCTTTCCAAGAGTTCATTGTCTTTTTTTAGGCAGGGGTTAGCTGCTTGTATACAGTACTCAAGTTTAGGGCGTACGAACACTGTATACAAAGTCAGAAACGTTTTAGCGTCAAGATGCCTAAAAGCCCTGCGTATGGACCATAAAGTCCTAAAACCTTTGGCGGCTATTGCACGGCAGTGTGCAGTAGTCTTTAAGTCTTGACTGACGATGACGCCTAAGTCATCGTGTGCCTGAACAATAGGTAACTCAGTGTTATTCATCGTGTATGTATCTGTACCCTGGTGGCCAATATGCATCACAATACACTTGGAAGTGTTTATCGGCAATTGCCAGGTTTGGGACCATTCAGATAATCTCTCCAGGTCATTTTGAAGTTCTAAGCTATCGCCCTTGCTTTGTATCGCTCTCCATATCTTGACATCATCAGCATAGAGTAAGACCGATGACGATAGTAAACGAGGGAGATCATTTACGTACAGGAGGAATAACACTGGCCCCAAAACTGTACCCTGGGGGACTCCACTAAGCACAGTTTCCCAGCTAGACAACTTGGAGTTCACCCTTGCTCTTTGTTGACGCCCAACTAGGAAGTCTTTTATCCACATCAATAGATTGCCTCGAATCCCGACATTCCTTAGCTTATATAACAGCCGGTTATGCGGAACTTTGTCGAAAGCTTTGCTGAAATCGATGTAAGCTACGTCTATAGGTAATTTTTGGTCCTTAAGAGCGCACCAGCTTTCACGAGCGACTAATAGGTTTGTGAGACAAGAGTAACCTGTTCTAAAACCATGCTGCTTTTCGGAGAGGATCCGGTTTCCATCGAGATACTTTAACAGTTCCTTCCGAATAATCTTTTCTAATATTTTAACAACCACACTAGTTAGGCTAATTGGTAGGTAATTCTCAGGCTTATGTTTTGTACCTGTTTTGAAGACTGGACTTACTATGGCGTTCTTCCAGTCTTTTGGTAGACGACCCTGGGTTACGGATAGATTAAAACATACACTTAAAGGGTTCGCAACAAAGTTAGCTAATTCCTTTAGTAACCTAGGATGCAGTTCATCGGGTCCAGTGGATTTACCTATGTCAAGCTTAACTAGCAGACCAAAGACATCGAGTCCTTTAATGGTTACGCTGTCCAGTGCTTGTGTGGGGGGATTTTCATGGACTGGTGAGAAGGGTGTTTCTATGGTGTATACATCGCTAAAGTATTTAGAGAATACTTGAGCTTTGCCAAAGTCGTCCTCCACTAGTGATGTGGCAGTACTGTCTCCTCATAGTGAAGGAACATTTCTTCTTTTTGTCCTTTGGTTTATATACGAATACAAGCGTTTAGGGCATTCTATGGATTCCCTAACGATTTTCTCTTCGTACAGCTTTCTGGCCTTACGGAGGGTTTGAGGCACAGGTATTTCGAGCCTTTTGATACTGAGATTTCGCCTCGTCAGTCCCCAGTAACCTAAATCTATCCCACATTTTCCTTCTTTTACGGAGAAGGATGCGAACCTCCCTACTGAACCACGGTGGTGAGTTTCTCGGTCTCTTAGGTGTAGTCCAAGGGATGTGGGGGGGTGGTAACTTTTAAGTATAAATTCCGGAATACATCCCAAGCCGTTTCGATTGATGACTCTGGGTCTATTTTCCAATCTACTGATGATGCTGATTTCATGATGTCTGGTATGTTTGCTTTCCAGACGTTAGGTCTGGATTGAGCTGAGGCGTGCTAGTGATCGGCAGTTGTATGGAAGTCAAAACTTAAAACTGCATGATCACTTTTGCCTAGGGGTGGCATGTAATCCAGGTTTGCAACATCATCCTCATAATGAGTCAATATGAGATTTAGTAAGGATGATGCAGAACCCGGGTCGTACCTAGTTGCTTCCTTCACGTGTTGCACTAGAGCACAAGTGATTATCGCATCAACTAGTTCCTGTTCGAAGGAGTTTGCTGACGATTCAGTCCGAAGATTTCCCCAGTCCACCATGGGTGCATTGAAGTCCCCTAAGATTAGACATCGATCACTTCGTGATAAAGTGTTGAGACTGCTTAGCAGGACCTCGTTTGCCTCACAGCTTGGACTGCGATAGATCAAACTAAGTAGTAACTCTTGTCCCCTGCATTTCAGGCGGCAGCAAACTAATTCATACGTCCCACTCTCAAGGGATACACTGTCGATAATGGTGAATGGAATAGCATTCCTAATGAATAGAGCTACACCCCCTCCTTTACGCGTTTGTATTCTATCGGCCCTTACCAATGTAAAACCCTCGAAATCAAGTTCCCTACTATCTATAGACGGCGTCAGCCATGTTTCTGTGACTGCGATTATGTCTGGCCTAGTTGAGTCAATCTGTACACCTAGTTCCGGTAGCTTATTTAGTAAGCTCCGGGCATTGGTATAACAGATCCGAAGCCTATTTAGGCGGTCTCGTGCTTCACCCAGAGTGGCTTCGGCATCATCCTCTGTCGAAGCCTCACAACCCGAAAATTTACAATTTTCAGGTCTTTTTCGCCAGCGTCTAATCTGAGCTGTAGTTCCTTTTCCGCTTCCCGTCTTTTAACACGGTCCGCCAACGGTAAGTCCTTACGGATAAAAACTCCTGAACCCTTTAATTTGTGTCCATTTTCTAAGATTAAGTCGCGTTCGTTTGGGGATTTGAAAACGACTTTGAGTAGTCTAGACTGATTTGGTTTCAGATGCGCTAGATTTCCTAGTCTATACACCTTTAGCAAGGTGACTCCGGGGATGTTTTTGGGCATAACTTGGTTGAATAGTTGTTTTATCAACACAATGTCATGCTCAAAACAAGCTTTCGGTTCTAAGCTGTCACTCTCCTTGACTCTATGGAGAATGACTGATCTGTCGCTGTGATCAGACCTCGGCCTGTCGACCCTTCTGGTTGGGGTATGATTTTCTTTTACGTCATTTCGGCGTTTTTTTCTTACGACCCGTACCCAATCGCCAGCGTTCTTTGGAGTGGTAACCACATTCACGTTAGGCGTACTGTGGGATTCCGGAAGGTTCAGGACGACTTGGGACATTGGGTCATCTTTCGCGCTGGAAACCGATCGAGCCTTGCGGTTTCGGCTTCCGGAAGTTCCCTTCTGGGTACCATTTTTGATACGAGGGACAGAAGAGACTTTTTTGCGCGAGTTTCTGGTTGTAACAGTCCTCTTTGGAGGATGTTCTTCCTCCTAAGTAGAGTGTGGGTCGGCAGTTTTTGGACTCACTTGGGCCTGCCTTGTGTCAATCTGCGTGTCGACAGATTGAGTTCTGACTGATGTATCCCGACCGCGCTTGCCGAGACACGTTTTTGCGGCATTTACTATTGAGATGGCCTCGGTTAACAAGCTATTTGCATCCAAACAGCAGTGTTGACATACCCATACGCACCCATTTTTACTGAACCGCTTGAAAGCTACAGGTGTTAGATTCGTGCAAACATCGTGGTACCAACCTTTGCACTCATCGCACTGCATGCCGCTATCAACAGGATATCGACATCCTGGGCGGTGGCAAATGCTTTTGTTGCATCTTCCAGTCATTTTAGGATGCGAAAGTGAGTGTTGACTACAAGTAGAAAAAAAATATAAATAGTTAGGACCAAAGTACTAACAGACACAATAGAAAAACAAAGGTACTCTGGAGTACCGACGATAAAACTATTTAGGATACCAAAGATGATACTCTAGTAGAATACTTTAACTGAAAGAAATTCAATCAAAGTATAAAAACAGTAGTCTTGATACGTTAATAGCGATCAAAACAATAGAATTTACTCAACGAGGAAAAATACCACTGTCCTTTTTAAATAGCGCGAGACTAGTAAAATGTTTACCTAAATATTAGTTTTAATTAGACAAATCCAATCAGATGTAAAACTTGAATAAATAAAAAGTAACGGCTGTATGTGAAAGTTGAATTGGTCATTCGACTGATACTATACCACATTCCATCACAATTACTTTTGATTTAGAAGCACAGTAAATGCTTTGTAATAGATCAAAATGAGTCTCTTCTACTATTTTATATAAACTCCAATTAAGTTAATATATTCATTCTTTATTTTGGTTTTCCATGATCAGAAGTAGTGTTGGTGTTATTGGTAACTTCAGTATATTTATAGACTAAAATGATTAAGATTCACATGTGCTTTCTACTGCTTATCTTTAATAATACAAATAGGGTATAATTAGTTGATAAACATTCAATTTGTTCAACAATGAAATAAATCTTTTAGGCTGTCTAACAATAAAAATATTTTATACTATTTAATATAATTTTTCTGATAGTTAAAATCATGAGTCAAATGAAGCTAGACCACCATGGGAAACTTGGTAATAGTGGACGGTCGTTTCGTCCCAGTATGGGACTTCTCAACAGTGTGCATCCACAATCCCGCCACATGAGATTTTAACCCAGGACCTATCGGTCTTGCGCGTGAACGCTTAACCTCCAGACTACTGAACCGGCATCTAACACTGAGGACTTCTCTAGTAGGACGAAACGGCCATTTAGTGCTTCAAGCTTTT